TGATACTCATAGGAGACCTGCCCCTTCCTAGATGGATACAGAAGAAGGGATTGGGGGTTGGGTGTGGGGTGGGGTGGATAAGGAGGAAGGGACTGGGAGGGGATATAAAATAAATAGATGAATTTAAAAAAAAGAAAATTATATAAGTGTAGGTTTGTTAGATACTTCGGGTACATCGGGCCCATTCCCATCCAACCTGATTCTCAGAAGATATATGTCACGATCTACAGTGGTGGTGGTGGGGTCTCAAACTGCATGGCTTAGTCCTACATACCCTAGATTTTTCATATACATATATAGAACAATTATAATATGCTGTCGTTAACATAAATTCTCATTCTGTCTGTCTGTCTCTGTCTGTCTCACTTATGGTACAATGTCACCACACTTCAGGGAACAGAAACAAAACTAACGAATATTTGTTTTTACAGTTACCCATGAACATTTTAAACCACAGTGGACTGTGAGTAAAGAAACCACAGAAAGCAAGACTACAGATTAAGGGTGGGTGCTATCATATGAAATTAAAACAAAACAAACAAAACAAATTAATTTTGCTTATGTTTGAAACAAAGTCATGCTGAGGGCCCACATAAAGCCTGACCATTAGTGGTTTTGTCTGCTCAGAATGTTTTAGGGCCATGGCAACAACAGTTTTAGTTTCAAGTACACTAGCAGTGTATGAACATCCATCATGGCATTGGTATCTCCATCTTTCTCTTCATCTCTACAGTATTCTTCTGCTTTATAGATAATCAGTCCTCTTTTAGACCAACACAATGGATGTGGTTTGGTTTTTTGTTTATTTGTTTTTGTTTTTAACTATTTTGGGGACTTCTTTTTTATTAAAAATATTTTTATTGAAAACAAAATTTTGCTTTCCTACAATATATTCAGTTTCCTCTCCTTTTTCTCCCAGATTTCCCCTAACCTCCCTACTCATGCAACTCCACATCTTCTGTCTTTAGAAAACAAGCAGGTAAAAAAAAACAGAATAAAACAAAGGAAACAGAAGAAATAAAAAAGAAAATCACAGGAAACACATACACATGCTCACTGGAGATCCTTGATCAATTTGGAGTTGACCTTCATGCAGGGTAATAGATCTGGATCTATTTTCATTCTTCTACATGAAGTTATCCAGTTTGATCAGCACCATATTGTCTTTTTTCATTCGTTCATTCGTGTGTGTGTGTGTGTGTGTGTGTGTGTGTGTGTGTGTGTGTGTGTCTGGAGAGAGAGAGAGAGAGAGAGAGAGAGAGAGAGAGAGAGAGAGAGAGAGAGAGAGAGAGCTTCTTTGTCAAAAAACAGGTGCTCCATACTTGTGTGGAGTTATGTCTGTGTCTTCAATTCTATTATATTGATTGAGATGTCTATTTTCATGCCAATACCATGTTGTTTTTATTACTATAGTTCTGTAAAACAAATTGGAATATGGGGTAGTGGTGATGCCTCTAGTAGTTTTTTTTTTTTTAATTCGGGATTATATTAGCTAAACTGACTTGTTTTATATTTCTATATGAAGTTGAAGAATTGTGCTGGAATTTTGATGGGGATTGCATTCAATCTATAGATTGCCTTTAGTTGGATGGCCATTTTCACAATATTAATGATCCATAAGCATGGGAGCTCCTTCCATCCTCTGGTGTCTTCTTCAATATTTTTCTTCAATGTCTAGAAGGATTACACAAAAAAAAAATTTGAAATTCTCTCAAATCCAAATGTACCATTGTTATTAGCAATAATTCTCTTTTGTCAACTCTTCCTTTCTTGTTACTTCTGCAACAGCCAGATGGCAGAATTACTAATATCCATCCTTCATTCAGCAGATAAGAAGAAAGACTTAATATCACCAATGTGCTTACTTCACTACATATAGAAGCGCAGGGGATTATTTCCCACAGAACTCTTTGTTTCATGAGATACTTTCATTTTGTGTTATTTCCCCAAACCTCAAAATTCAGAAAGGGGAAGCAGAGCAGCCTTTCATTTGCCAACTGCTTGTAATAACCACAAATTCACATCCTGAGTAATCATGAATACCTTCCGGGGAAAGCATACAGACCGCCTGAGTTTCAAAACTTCTGGAGGAAAGAGCTGGTGGGAGGTTGTGCCTGAGAACTCCCCGGACCTGAGTGAGCAGGCACAGGAGCACACAGCACAGGGCTGTGAGGACAGGTAGGTACACTAGGTTGAGTTAGAACCCCTGGGGGAGATTGTGCTTCTGACAGACAGAAACTGGATTCTCATCCTGTCTTTTCTGTTGACCACCTGGTGCCTTGGTTTGGATTGTAACCCCTGGGGGAGATTGAGCTCTGGATAGACAACCAAAGAACTAGATTCACATCCTGACCTTTCTGTTGTCCATCTGTATGAACTGGTGAGTCAGATGCCCATTTGGGGCCTTCACTTACTTACCTGCCAAAAGGCAAACTACCCTTTGATTTCACTTGAGATTTGAAGTGATGACCTTCTAGAGTTGCCTGCATTTCCTCACTGTAGCCACTCAGTTTTACAAAAACATGTTCTCAAGGAAGACTGGGATTTAATCAAATGTTTAATTTGAAAACTATAGTTCTAATCTAATATTGTAACACAGAAAAGTATTGTGCAGAGCTGTTTGCCTGAATAGTAGGAATTTTTGAACTTTTTCAAAAGCTATGGGCCACTCCCATTCACCTCGTTATAACGAACACCAAAGGGCAAAGCATTCCCTCTCCATTGTTGGATTTGGAGGTGATGGTGTCAGGTGGCAGACATATGCAACTCAAAAAAACCCACTTCATTTTTTAGAGTTGTCCCTAAAATAACTACACATTTCCAAATTTAAATACAATAGCTTAAATTCTATTTTTAAAAAACATACCTCTACATGCTATCATAAGGATATAATTTAGTAGATAAAATAAACATAAATTCTACAATATTTTAAAGTGCACAGATGTTTCTTACAGATTGTTCACAGCAGTAAAAAAGAAATAACCAAATGATCATGGACATGAGTCAGGTTTAATGAATCCAGAAATACGCATTCATTTGGATTTTTTAATTAGAGTTAAACTGCTTACATAATTGTAGCATTCTAACCGCAGGAAGTGTGCAGTTCAGTGGTATCAAGTTCATTCATGTTGTGACACCCGCACTCCCATCCAACTCCAGAACTTGGTCATCTTTACAAAGTGGAACCATATCCACTAAACAGCTGCTCCTCAGCCCTCCCCCAGTCCTTGGCAGCTACCATTCTACTTTCTCCAAAATTAAGTAGTAGTAGTCAGGGTACCTCATAAGTAGAACCACACAGCATCTGACTTTCTCTGACCGACTGACTTTGCATATTTTGTTTTGCCAGAATCTAGCATTTGGCTTTTATACTTAAGGCTCTTAAATTAATTAAGGATGTCCACTGACAAAGCAGTGGAAAGAAGTTCTAAATGGATGGAATGACCATTTGTATGGTGTTATAATTTGGGTAAAATAATACATAAAGAAGAGAGAGAAGCGATGAGAGGAAAAGGGAACATAAACTGTGAAACTGATGATTTCATATTAATTGTTGGGAAATCGAGAACATTTAGATTCATGCAAACTTTATTTCCTTTTAGTTGAAATTGTTGTTTGATGTTCTCTTAAAAAAAAAAAAACAATTGGACTGTTGGTCGTTTTGATGTCTAATTTCTTGAGTTCCTTATATATTCTGGATATCAGTCCTCTGTCACATGTGGGGTTGGTGAAGATCTTTTCCCATTCTGTAGGCTGTCACTTTGCCTTGTTGACCGTATCCTTTGCTCTACAAAAG